TTAAAATGAAATATTAAGTAGTCTAGACACTTTGAAAGAATAATTTCACTTTGCACTTTAGTGCTTGTGAAGGTGGGTGCAAACTATACAGAAGATGCAGGAAGGTGTAGAGCTGGATGAACACAGATTTTCTGAAGAAGGGTCTAGACCCAAAACGTCAGCTTTCCTGCTCCTCTGATGTTGCTTGGCCTGCTGTGATTATCCAGCTCTACACCTTGTTACACCAGATTCTCCAGCATCAGCAGTTCCTACTATCTCAGAAGATGCAGGAGTTATGCCATGCCTGAACTCTCCCACATTTCAGGTGGGGATGGGGGGTCGCTGGAGACGTGAAGTGTAGGAACGACCCAAGCACTTGCAATTACATTTGCAATAGGCACAACTTTGGGATGTCCCAAAGCAACTTACAGCCAATGAAGTACTACTGAATTGTAGTAACTGTTGTAGGAAATCTAGGTTGCCATTATAAGCTCAGCAAACTCCCACGAATAGCAGTGAGATCACATTTTTTTCTTCCTTTTGACGTTAGTTGAGGGAAAACTGTTGGTTAGACACTGAGGAGAAACCCCCTCCTTTACACAGTACCATTGGACTTTTTACATCCAATGCAGAGGACAGATGAAGAATAAAAACAGAAAGGACTAGCCAGCTCTACACCTTGTTATCTCAGATTCTCCAGCATCTGCAGTTCCTACTATCAGAGAAAGTCAGAAATGGTTGCTGGGAACATAAAAAACCAAAGGTATTTCATTGCTGACATAGTACCCGCAGTTTCCTATTAGTGACAATGAGCAAGAGAGCGCATTAATGTTCTGAGCCCAATTTGACTTCTTTTCAATTGAAGAGAGTTGGAAGTGTTGTGGATTATATTTTAAAAAAATGGTGGGGTGGAGCACTGGAACATAAAAGAAAGGCAGGGAAAGGTTAGAGGACAAGGAAGATTAGAGATCAAAGGTGTCTTAGAATAAAAGACAAAAGGGACTGGTGATGGTTTTAGAGAAAAGACTATTGATCCAAGGTAGGTGTAAATGGCAGGATGAGAGTCAAAAGTCTGAAAGCAAAAACACAAAAACAAGACACAGGCACGGAGGAGAAATGGCTTATAATAGAGGACTGAGTTCATGTCTGATGTTGTTGAACTCAGAAGGCTGTAAAACGACTGAGTGAAAAATGAGGAGCTGCTCCTCCACCTGGTGTTAAACATTACTGGAACACTGCACCAAACCTAGGGCAGCAATGTGAGCATGACAGCGAGAATTGGGGCACTCTGGCAATGCTGCACTTCCTCAGTATAGTGCACCAGAGTTTCAGCCTGGCTGAAGTCAGGAGAGTGGAAACTGAACTGACCATCACCTGATACAGGTGCTTGGAAATAAAATGGGTTTGTGTGTGTGTTGTGGGGGGGGGGGGGCACTCTGTAGACTAGTTTCCAACATTCATCCTGACATGATCCCCTGTGCAGTGAGGAGTGAATGGACTAGCTGATCAAAAGGGCACAGCTAATTACATTGAATCAGCAATCATTAAGTCACTTTTTCATGACTTTTTGCTATTATTTGCTGCAGGCACTTGGCTACTCATGAGATTTCATGTCAGTTGTTCAATTATTTTATACCCTTTACACCACAACTGCCACTTAGACTCTAACTGGAACGCTCAATTCATGATGCTGCACCTCAGAAAGATCAATATTCTTTAATCAGCCTGTTTGTGGATGTTATTACACGTCCAGTCCTCCTGACTCAGAGGTAGGGACATTATCACTGTGCTGCAAAAGCCCTTAACCTTAGGAAACATGTTTGGATGGGTTGCTGCACTGATACACCAGAATGACACTAGGCCTACGTGAATTCAATTATCAGGACATGTTGTCTTGATGTGGTTTATATTCCCTTGAGTGTTGAAGATTAAGGAGCAATCTTACCGAGATGCTTAAGATGATTAAAGGATTTGACAGGGAGACTCTGGCGGAACGCATCAGAATAAAAGTACATAACTTTAAAATTAGAGCCTGAGTGATGTTCGAAAACACTTAACTCAAAGTGTAATGGAAATCTGGAACCCTCTATTTCACCAAAAGCTGTTTCGGCAGGGAGTCAGTTGAAAATATTGTGACTGTGATGAATAGGTTTTTATTAGATCTGGATTATTGAATCAAGTTGGGTAATTGGAGTGAAGCAACAGATCAGATATGATCTAATTGTAGGTAAATGTGAGATGCTGCATTTTGGAAAGGCAAATCAGGGCAGGATGTATACACTTAATGGTAAGGTCCTGGGGAGCACTGCTGAAAAAAGAAACCTTGGAGTGCAGGTTCATAGTTCCTTGAAAGTGGAGTTGCACGTAGACAGAATAGTGAAGAAGGCATTTGCATGCTTGCCTTTATTGGTCAGTGCATCAAGTACATGAGTTGGGAGGTCATGTTGCAGCTGTACAGGACATTGGTCAGGCTACTTTTGGAATACTGCATGCAGTTCTGGTCTCCCTGCTGCAGGAAGGATGTTGTGAAACTTGAAAGCATTCAGAAAAGATTTACAAGGGTGTTGCCAGGGTTGGAAGGTTTCAGCTAATAGGGAGAGGCTGAATAGGCTGGGGCTATTTTCCCTGGAGCACCGGAGGCTGAGGTGTGACCTTGTAGAGTTTTATAAAATCATGAGGGTCATGGATAGGGTAAATCGACAAGGTCTTTTCCCAGGATAGGGGAGCCCAAAACTAGAGGGCATAGGTTTATGGTGAGAGGGGAAAGATTTAAAAGGGACCTAAGGAGCAACGTTTTCACGCAGAGGGTGGTGTGTGCATGGAATCAACTGCCAGAGGAAGTGGTGGAGGCTGGTACAAAGACAACATTTAAAAGGCAGCTGGATGGGTATATGAATAGGAAGGGTTTAGCGGGATATGGGCCAATTGCTGGCAAATGGGACTAGATTTATTTAGGATATCTGGTCGGCATGGACGGGTTGGACTAAAGGGTCTGTTTCAATGTTGGATGTCTCTATTACTTTATAGAGAACAGGTTTGAGAGGCTGAATGACCCATTTCATTGTTCCTACTAGTTCTATTTATTTAGTTAGTTATTGTCTTAAGAAGGGAGAGGGGACTCCATGCTTCAGGCTGGTACCGAAGACGAGCTGTGATCCTTCATTGTGCCCCTTAGACTGGCATTCACAGAAACCCCAGAGGAACAACGCTCCTATTGGCAAACAGTATGGACATGATTCCTGATGAACCGTAACACTGTCTGCCATTTTGGAGGCATTCCACTCATCGTCTGTCATTGCTTCTAGTGGGATTGTAGAAAGAGATGTTTACCTGAGGGTGGTCAACTAATGACTTGTCTTTCCTGTAACCCATGCCAACCGAAAAACCATGATGGTCACACTTGTTTTGCAATGGCCATTGAAGCCTGGCCTTCACTGGGTACAGGGCAGCAGAGATGCCAACTGCTGCCAAGGATGTTACCATTGGCATCCTGATCAATATTTATCCACAATCAGCATGAATATAACTGATTATGTATTCATTTTCAATTTTATGGGGGGGGATCTTGCTGTGAGGAAATTGGCTGCTGTGTTTCTCACATTGTAATAGTCAACAGTTTCAGAAGTACTTAATTTACAATAAAGCATGTGTTGTGGCCATAGACAGTGTTAAGACTTTTGGTTGAATGTGCAAGCTGTCAACTGCATCTTTTCGTTTCTTGTCCCACACATTCTTAGAAAGGGTAGATGAGATGCCTTTCAGAATATGCATTCCCCCTTGTCACTTGCGGGGTAAAGCTCTTCATTCCCAGCATTATGATGCTTCCTGTTCCAACGTGGACCTCAACAAACCCATTGTCAATCAATTTTAAGTTGTAATGTCATGCATTTCCCATTAGGAAGAGAGATGAAACACCGTGTGATGACAATAGGGTTTTACTGCTGTGATGCATTTGTAATCCAGTTGCAGGCTCCTGCCTGTGTTTTCTAAGTCCACATAGCAATCCCGAACATGGTGTGCAGAAAACAGAGCTGAGCTGGTGAATTACTAGGGTCTCATTATTGAAACCACTGGGAAGCCTGCCACTCACCCTAGTCTGTCTGGCACAGAAGCTCTCACTCCTCAAATATGCATTGGATGGCTTACTTGTAATTGTCCTGCATCCTTCATTGAGTGATTCACTTCACCACACAGTCTCCAGAGCCACAGCACAGTTGTCTCCTTAAGAGATTTTGCTGAGCTCTTTTATGATTTGAATGAGTAGTCAAGGCCATTTGTAACAACAAGATGTCGACCCTGTGGGTTGGAGGGCAGCAGGGGAGTTTTCTGTCTCTTGGGCTGAGTTAGTTTGGCTCTCAGTTGAACGACTAGGTGGAGTAAAAAACCCATGGGCCATCTAACCCAGGTCTATATTGAGCAGACACCCCACGTGAGTGAGTAAAGTTGACACAGTCCGAGAGGACTATATAATGGGGCAGTGGGCCTCCTGTTGACATGTAGCATCCACTGAGAAAACAAAGATAGGAAACGTGTCGGACCTATATAAACAAGAAAGTCCTACATACAAACTTGGATCAATGTTGTATTATCAGCTCTGAATTGCCACAGTATTTAGGCAGGGTCTCAACTTGGTTAGAGAAAGGAAACCAAGCCAAGTATCCAGCAATGTCTCCTGGAAGTAAGTGTGTGTGCTTGGCATCAGGTTAAGAATAAGACTGAACTCTAATGTATTCTGCCAAGGCTCGTGCACAGTAATCACTGGGGTGCCAGTACATGACTTACACCAGTGGAAAGTGAGCCGCTGCTTTCGGGAGAGGGGACAAGGGAGAGAAACGTCTAATGAACAAATGAGTATGGTTTTTGGACAGTGGGCAATAGCTATACATGCTGTAGACAGCCTTGAAATGAAAACTTGTCTGTACGTTGATGCGAAAATGGAGGGGGGAGCAGTGAGGGAGACAGCAGCCTTCACTTTGAATTGCAAATGGACTAAAATCTTCCTCATCTCCATTTTCACACAGGACTCGTCTTTGCAGCCTCACCTTTCCAGTCTGAACAAGAAGCAGAGCACGTGGAGCTCTCCTCTGGGCAGAGGGGAGCCTTCAGAGGGGATTAAGCAAGTCAGCCCAGGCGCCATCTCAACACACTCGCCTCGGCCAACAGTGGATGTGGGGAGTTGGGACCACAAAACCACAAGTACGTGATCTTTAGCCACTTGCTGCTGAACAGAAATGCCGTTTCTTTCATGACAGTCATGGGAGCGGGCGCAGTGAAAGCTCATTAACAGATCGGATTGTGGAGACCTTGCTGTTGTTCTCAGCACTTGCTGTTTAACAGCTGGTTGCATAGAAGTAGCTCAAGGAAAACTGAACTTTGAACCGATCTGAACCAGGCTGATATATCACACAACCCAGATACCTACAGGGGACATATATAGCCTGAGGTTTAGCTGTTTCACAGCTTTTGCATGCCGAATTATACATGCTTCCCTATACACAGCTTATGTGGCATCTAATATCTGTCACTTTGGTTTGGGGTTTGTTCATTTGTATTTTCGTCTCATGTTCTCTTTCCCTCTTGCTCACTTCACATATTATTCCTCCCTTCAGCCCCACGTGGGTTGCAGTGGGTTGGGTCAGTGTGTTCAACTCAGCTGTGGTGTCCTTCGTGAGGAGTAATGATGCAGATCGCCCTGGTCTTCAGATCAGTGGTTAGAGCATTGCATTGTGTGCTGGGTGCATGGCATCTAGTGTCATCATCACCACACATTAATCCTCCGGGTGCTCTGGTTCCCTCCCACAGGCCAAAGATGTGCAGGTTAGGTGGATTGGTCATGCTAAATTGCCCGTAGTGTTCAGGGATTTGTACATTAGGTGGGTTATAGGGGAATGGGTTTGGGTGGGTGCTCTAAGGGTCTGTGTGGACTTGTTGGGCCGAAGGGCCTGTTTCCACACTCGGGATTCTATGATCTATGATCTATGACTGGTGAGGGCTGGCACTCAGCATTCCAGGAGCTCCTACTCTGAGCACAGGATTTAGCCATTGGTGAGGGAGCACTGACCGGTGGCATATCCAGACCCTGAAGGAATCACATTAGATTTAAGAGTCCCAATTAGTTACTGTTAATTCTGGCAGCATTGGCCATTTTAATCCCTAGCTTGGACACACATTATTTGTCGCTGTGGTTACGTGCAAACTGTATGACTCGTGTGTTTAAACCAATGGCCTGGGAGTTTGCTGCAGGTTGTTATAGCACTGTGGTAGAATTAGCATCTTTTACAACAGGGACTGTGTACCAAGCAAGGTTCATATTCCGTACAATGTTACTTCCCATTCAAATCAATGAGAGTAATATTGGGCAGGATGTGAAAACAGTGTTCCATCTGATTCTGTATGTGTCCCAATAGATGGGGCATCTCAAAATTATCCCCTAATATCTCAAGTGCACCAACAATGGGTGGGTCAGTCTTAGACGCTCAAGATACCACCTTCAGCTGCTCCATAAACCTCCTTTCAGCATAAGGTCAGAGTGGGGATGTTGGCTGAGGACTCCTCAGATACTGAAGCAGTCTATGTCCAAAAGCAGCAAGACCTGGATGATGTTCAGACTTGCGCTGACAAATGGCAATTGACATTTAAGCCAAATAAGTGCCAGGCAATGACCACTTCCAACGAGAGAGAATCTAACCATTGTTCCTCAGCATTCAAATGGTATCACCATCATTGAATTCCCCATTATCCACATTCTGGGGGTTCTGTTGACCAACGACTGAACTGGAGCAGCCACGCAATTATTGTGGCTGGAAGAGCAGGTCAGAGGCTGGGTAACATGCCGGCTCATTCCCCAGTACCTGTCCAATATCTACAAGCCTCAAGTCAAGAGGGTGGTGGAATGCTCTCTGCTTGGAATCCATCCAGAACAAAGTGGTTGATTACCATTCCATCCACCACTGCTCTGCATTGGCAGATAAGATATAAGATGTACTGCAGCAACTCACCAAGCTTCCAACGGAGGCACCTTCCAAGCATGTGACCTCTACCATTTCTCCCGAAGGACAAGGACAGTACACCCAGCGGAAGACCACCACCTCCAGGTTCCCTCCAAGCTCCACACTAAACTGACCTGGAACTTTTATCACCGTTCTTTCACTGTCACAGAGTCAAAGTCCTGGATCTCCCTCCTTAACTGTACTGTGGCTGTACTGTACTGCAGAAAAAGCAGGCGATACTGCAGCAGTTCAAGGGACAATTAGGGATGAGCAACAAATGCTGGCCTTGCACTGATACCTACGTCCCATGAAAGAGTAAATAAAAGTGCAGCATGGTGGCTCAGTGGTTAGCACTGCTCTCTCACAGCGCCAGGGACCTGGGGTTTGACTTCAACCTTGGGTGACTGTGTGGAGTTTGCACATTCTCCCCGTGTCTGTGTGTGTTTCCTCTGGGTGCTCCAGTTTCCTCCCACAGTCCAACAACGTGCAGGGTAGGTGGACTGGCCATGCTAAATTGCCTCATAGTCTTTTTTTCTTTATTCATTCACGGGATGAGGGCATCGCTGACCAGGCAGCATTTATTGCCCATCCCTAATTGCCCAGAGGGCAGTTAAGCGTCAACCACATTGCTGTGGGTCTGGAGTCACATGTAGGCCAGACCAAGTAAGGATGGCAGTTTCCTTCCCTGAAGGACATTAGTGAACCAGATGGGTTTTTCTGACAATCAACAATGGATTCACGGTCATCGTTAGATTCTTAATTCCAGATTTTTAAATTGAATTCAAATTCCACCATCTGCCGTGGTGGGCTTTGAACCCGAGTCCCCAGAACACTATCCAGGTCTCTAGATTAATAGTCCAGCAATAATACCACTAGGCCATTGCCTCCCCTCTCCAGGCATGTGCACTTAGGTGGATTAGCCATGGGAAATGTGTGGTTACGGGGATAGGGTTGGGGGCTAGATCAGGGTGGGATGTTCTTTGAGGAGTCAGTGCAGACCTGATGAGCCGAATGGCCTCTTGCCACACTGCAGCGATTCAGTGATTTTAAGGAAAGCATTTTCAGCATAGAGGCAAATACCTTTGGCCCAGCAAATGATGGTGTTTTATGCTCTAGACCTACTGTGGACCAAGATGTATAATTTCCCACAGGTCTTACTCAGCGATGCCTAAGATTTTTGATGTTGTGGGTTGGTTTGGTTGAATAAAATAGGCCTCTACAGACCACACATGCTTTATAAGTCCATTTCCCCTTTAATCTGCATGCCTCTCATGCTATTCATTCAGGTCCTATGTTGTATTTTAGGCCCCCTCTCCATCAATGAGGAAGAACTGCTGAGACAGCCCTTTACAAAGCACCAGACTAACAGAATTCAAGCAGGTCAAACCAGCAAACCAGAAGCACAAATGAAACAGACCTCTTGTACTGTGAAAGGTTATAGGTTACCCACTGGGCCATTGAGGGAGGTCTTTAAATGGTTATTTCAGAGAAAGAACAATTGACAATGTCCGTGTGTCACCAGTCATAGTCATTACACGTCTCTGTTTATAACCATTACAGCCATTTCACAATGTCTAGTGAAATGACTTAATTTACGGAGAAACTGGCGTTTTCAATTCCTTCAGAAGCTCTTGTGCAACATTCAGGTATTTGGGCAGCAATTAGCACGAGGCTCTTATCATCAAAATTCAAGGGGAACTTGTCTTAACAGCACCCTATCGCAGTAAAACTCTGAGGATTCAGTCAAAAGTGAGAATCTCTATATGAATGTTGTTTGTTCTGGGACCAATTGCCTGATAATAGGATTAATTGTTTGCAGCTCTCTCCCAGCGAGTTTGCTCAGATGTGTGGTCCCAGATGTTGAGACTATACAAGTCCAACTAAAAGCCTGACCCGGCTAGTTTGTTTTGTTTAAGTTCGGGCCGTCTGTGGATGATGTTTGTAGAGACCTGGCAATGTGCCTAACAATGGCAACCATATCATTATTGGTATATGCGAGATCCAAATCATGAACAGAGCGAATGTGTGTGAGAGAAAGGGAGAAACTTTCATTCTTGTAATGTTGTGTTGGCCTACTGTGGTGTTTCACAGCTCTGAGGGAGTTCATCCCCCCATGGAACTGATGCATTTCCAACAGCAATTGTCATTGATTTATCCCAGAGGACCACTGACATGATTTATCTAATGTTGTGAAGGATGTGGGCTATTCCTGCAGAGGCTCAGATGGGAGCTTATAATCTTCGTCAATTCATCAGGGGCTGAGTAAAGCACAGAGAGCAAATCAGATTACAGACCTGTGTGAGGCTTACAGTCCTTCCTTGTCTCCAGTTCTGCAGTGATATTATCAGAAGCTTCCCAAGTCCAAAAGACCATAAGATATAGGAGCAGAATTAGGCCATTCGGCCCATCATGTCTCCTCCACCATTCAATTGTGGCTGATACGTTTCTCAACCCTGTTCTCTTGCCTTCTTCCCATAACCTTTGATCCCCTTACTAATTTAGAACCTGTCTGTCTGTGTTAAATACATCCAATGATGTGACCTCCACAGCCTTCTGTGGCAATGAGTCCTACAGATTCACCACCCTCCAGCTGAAGAAATTCCTCCTCATCTCAGTTCTAAGGGGTTGTCCCTTCATTCTGAGACTGTGCCCTCAGGTCTTAATTTCTGCAACTTGTGGAAGCATCTCTCCCATGTCCATGCTACCCAGGCCTCTCAGTATTCCATACGTTTCAAAGAGATTCCCTCTCATCCTTCGAGACTCCACAGAATACAGACCCAGAGTCCTCAACCGCTCCTCATATGATAAGTCCTTCATCCCTTGGATCATTCTTGTAATCCTCCTCTGGACCCCCTCCAATGCCAGCACATCCTTCCTTAGATACAGGGTACAAAACTGCTCACCATATTCTAATGCTGTCTGACCTGAGCCTTACACAGCCTCAGCAGTTCAGCCGTACTTTCCTCATCAGGAGCCAATTGATTGCTGCAGATGTTATGTTTCCACAGATACCAGTGGCCTGCTTCTTCCTCACCCAACTAACTAGTCTCTATATGTCTTGGGTAGTCTGTGAACGTAGAGCAGCTGTTCACCCCTGGGAAGAACTACTGTCATGCTCCAATTTTGTACGGATGCACTTTCCAGAACAGAACTGCAATTTCAAATGGGAATTCTATTCAATTCCCGTCCAGCCCATATCCTTGAAAG